AGAGGGCCCCCACAGAGGAAAAATGGCTACTTGGGAGGTTGTACATCGCCATATTGGAACTCTGACTTCTCCGACTACGATAACCAGAACGCGGTTAACTCGGGTGTGACTATTTCTAGTTCCGACTTCCGAGGCAAATCTAACACGCCATCAGGCTACCATTAGCAGTAGTTCAGGCTAGCTTTAGCAGTAGCTCAAACTCACATTAGCAGTAGTCCAGGCTAACAGTAGGAGCAGCTGAGGCTAGTCTTAGCAGTAGCCCAGGCTAGCCCTCTGTAGGTATCATCTCTATAGCTTTAACCATCTCAGGCTAAAAGTTTAGATAAAAGGACGAACAACTAAGTCCTTCAGGGGTACTTCATGAAATACGTATGTGGAGTAACCAGGTAGGTAGCTTTTAACGTTGCTAATCTGCAACGCCGCCTCCAGAGGGTTAATATATAGGGAGCATCATGGGTCCCCGGAAGAATGAAAAAATGAATGAAAGTCAACGGGGCTAAAAACTTTTCTAACACGCTTTGCCTTACGCCCTGGATCACACTGGCGGGGCAAACCAGTCTTTCCATAAGGAGCCTAAGTCTCCTCCCTTTCCAGTCGGTTCATGGGTCCCCGGAAGAACGCTAAAACAAATGCAAGTCAACGAGACTAATAACGCTATTTTCTAATCCTCGTTGCCTTACGCCCTGGATCACACATATGTTGTACTGCAATTTAAATGAAAAGTAATGATGAGCGTTTCAACCACGCCAGCCACGTCCTTTGTGATTTATCGGCTTGTAAATGTTCATAATTAGCATGACTACACACCAGAAATCGACACGTCGCAAATGTGATGTCACCACAGACTCTCCTCTCCCCTAGCGTAGCTGCTACTTACCACATGACCAGATTTATAGCGGTTCTTTCCTCCTGTGGGAAGTTGCTGAACTTACAGCCATTTTCTCTCAGTTTTCTCCGTGTCTGATTCGATGACGTCACTTTGGTGAAGCGCATTTGTAGTCCTGGGCTTATTTTCACTCAAAACCTAAAATATCGTTCCCCCCTTTCGGAAATAAGCGCGTTCTTGGTATCAAAATGTGTCTTTAAAATTCACTGACATCATATGTGAAATCCATGGCACAAAACAAGCGTAGTTAGAAAATAGCGTTGTTAGCCCCGTTGACTTGCATTCACTTTTTTGTTCTTCTGGGGACCCGTGGCGCAGAAGTGACTTAGGCTCCATATTGTCACCATTGAAGTGGGTTGAGACATGCTATCTAGGCTTATGATGTGTTAGACCAGTTTTCAGTTCTATTTATTTAATCTTAGGCCTAGTCCACACGTAGCCGGGGTTTTTTGAAAACGAATATCCGCCCCTCCAAAAACTTGCATCCACACCACCACGTATTAAAAACAAACTCTGTCCACACGTACCCGGATAAATACGTTGTTAAGGATATGCCAGACCTGTAGGCGGCAGTACTTCCCCCGTTCTTAACCTCGTTCTTCGTCTGTGGTCTTCCGCAAGGAGCAGTAATTCCGCTTGCAAAAACAAACAAGCAGAAAGCGCTTGGACAATTGATGGATCGGGTAGTGACAGTGCGCAGCTCTGAGGGCATCCATGCTGTCGGCTAGTGTAAACACAGGTCGCACACGTGATGTCAGCATTTTTTGTCACGGAAAGTGACGTTGCGGACCTTAAAACTCCGGTTTTGTCTGTCCACACGCAGACACCCAAAACGGAGAAAACGCAGATCTTCACTTTGGCCGGAGTTTTTAAAAAGATCCGTTTTCGTGTGAAAAAACTCCGTTTTCGTGTGGATGACAGGCCAAAACGTAGAAAAATATCTACGTTTTGGCAGATCTCCGGCTACGTGTGGACAGGGCCTTAATTGTTATTTCACCCTGTATAAGTAAATATGCAGTATACTGTGGATAATAAATACTGAAGACTTTAAAAAAATCTTTCTCTCACTTAAATACGAACATCTATGTTGCTGATGATCAGGACTCAGTTTCATCACGTTCCAAGTTCTTTCTCAGAACTAACCATGTCTCTGTGGCCACTACAGCATCACTACTTTACATTGGAAAGCAGGTCAGAGACAGTATGGGCTTCTTGGTGTGCTACATTAGACACGCCTAGCTGCCTGTTTTCAATAACAACAAGATAAATGGTCTTAAACTTTGGAACACCTTGACGTCTTCAAAACATCGTTCAGGTTAAGTTCCAGAATTTTTGCTATTTAACTGAGATTGTGACATTTTAGCTGCGTCCTGGTTCTGGATTTAAAAGGGTTTCATTCACAAATTCAGCTTTAACAAGAACTTTTCAGGCTCTCCAGATCTGTGTGGATCCGTGTGCTGGGATTAAGAACAGCTCGGCTACATAAACAAACGGCTTATTTTGATTCTAATGTTGCTTTAATCAGATTGTACAGGGTGTTTCGTGGTTGCTTTACATATGCAGTTTCTTGGAAAACTAAACAGAAATGCATTAGTGTGTTTCTCATCAGCCCTGCCTTTGTGGTGTAATGGTTTAATTTACATGTTATTTAATGAGCCATAAGACATAAGATTCCATAGTAAATATGAAATCAACCTTATGGATCTGTGGGTACTGTTTAACCAGAAGACTGGAACTTTTTATTGCAGGGATTATGTAACAACCTTGTATTCACTCAGAGACAACAGAAGAGAGAGAGTCAAGTTTAAAAGTTTAAACATTTATTACTAAACAAATTAAACTAGACTAATTTAAACACTCAATGTATGGTGTAACTAAGGTGAATGAGACAGAATGGTGTAGTGTGGAATGTTGTTCAGAACCAGCAAATCCGAAGAAACGATTAGTTCTGGTGGGAAGTGAAGGTGATGTCTTCGCGCTAAGCTTTGGTTAGGAGATTCATAAACACATTCAACGCCATTTGTCGGTCTACGTACCCTTAGCGGAAGTCCCCGTCTAGATCAGGAGGTGTAGAGGTCCAGCTTGACCTTTATGGAGCCGAAGCCTGTAGAAACAGCCGCGGCCGCCGACCAGACCAGTATTGAGATACTTCCGGGTCACGACAGTTTATCGGCATCTAACAAGACCCAAACCTGGGTCATGATGGTTCAGCTTTTATTCTGAAAGGAACCGTTGCAGCAGTTGGAACAGCAACAGATTTTATCCAGCTTGTGGTTGGTTCTTTCGGCTGAAGAAGAAAGTTACGGATCGGCCACTCCGACAACTTCTCTAGAACGCTTTGAACTGGCATTAAAGATGACGTGGGCATAGTTTTAAACTTCGGATCTTTTGGTTTCTGGTCGAATGAAAAGATGACAGATTTACCAAACACCACCAAAACCCCGCCTCCGTCAGATCTGGCAGATTCTGATTGGATCAGTAAAGCAATGTGTCATGTCTTAACGCTACATGAGATCAGTCCTAGTGGAAACATTTAAAGTCATATTACTTATTATATTCTATAGGATTATAATAAATAATTAATATTTTGATTTCACAGATTGGTCACATCTTATTATTGACTAACACTTTGTTTGATTAGCTTTATTAAAATAGAGTTCTTTGATTTATTAAAAGGAGAGAGTCCATTCTTCATTCTTCTCTTGAGCTGGAAAGGAAGCAGTTTAGAAGCAAATGCATGAGACCTTGAGGCCATATCTCATGCAGACTAGTTCTGTGTCAGAGGAGAGGGGGAAATTACTTTTGGTGGAAAACAGTCATTTCATTCTGTTACGGTGAAGATGTTTCCCAGTTCTTGTTCTGTTAAAAAATGAAGCTAAAATATCCCGACTGCAGGCTGTTTAGTAGCCACAGCAGATTTACTGAAAAGACAACTGAGAGCTTAAATTTTCCCAAACAATTCCCAAAAAGTTTCTGTTCTACATTTTTCCAAAAATGTTATAAAAAAATACTAAACAACAACAAAAAACTTTTTGCATATTAGATGTCAGCCATCTTTCTCTGTGTAGGAGAGCTTCATACAAATGAGTTTGTGCCTGAATGCAAAACAAACACAAGTTGTGCTCCTTTGTAAATTCATCACAAGAGTAACACTTAAATCTTCCCAAAAACAACCCCTATCCTCATCCACGTGAGTGAGCGTGCCCTACCCCCATGAACTGGCGTGCGTGTTAGTACCTGTACACAAACATTACCAGATGGTGGTCAGTGCAAACCAAACAGAAGCAGGCGAAAACCACAGAGGAGAGGAGAGCATCAGGCATTTGTCACCCCTCTGCAGAAAAAATCAGTTGTTGCCTTCCTCCTCCTCCTCCTCCTCCATCCCCTCACACTCACTTCCTACTGTAAGGCGTTCAGATCCAGACACGAGAACATGCAGAGAAATTCATGTGCAGTGATCCCTCGTTTATCGCGGTAGATGCGTTCCAGACTTGTTCGCGATAGATGAAAATCCGCGAAGTAGGGACGCCATATTTACAGTATTTATTTAACAGGTACGTATTCAGTATTCAGACTTTTAAAACCCTCCCTTTACATAGTACTGTTAACAAACCACCCTTTAATGTACAGAACACTTAATCTAAAACAGGCACTAATATTAAAATGTTAGAATATTAAAGTATATAAAAAGATAAAGATCGTTACTGTACTCACCATGAAAGAAGTTAAAATTTTTTTACTTGTTTTTTTTTATAGTTTTATTACAAAAAGTGCATTTTATGATGAAATTGATGAAAAAACAGGAATTTCTTGATATTTCGCATAGAAAAATACCGCGAATCGGCGAATTTCCCTTGAATAAGGCTCCAAAGAAAAAATCCGCAAAGTCGTGAATCTGCGATAAACGAACCGCGCAGTAGCGAGGGATCACTGTATGCTTTATTTCTATGGAAGTCATCTTAAAATCACATGGTCTCTCTGCCTGCCTCCACCCGTCCTCCCTCCTCCTCAGCACTCTGATGACATCACGAACAGCCGGTGTGTTTTCAGCCAGTAGGAATGCAGAATGGGCCTGTGCTGCTGACTAAACTCTGTCTGCCTGCTCTCCCTCCTCTCTCAGTCTGACGCTCCTCTGCTTTGCTGCAGCACACACCCTCACACACAAGGCTCTTCTCGCCCTCGTTTCTCCCGCCGCTTGCAAACATGGTCGATGCTTTCGTGGGCACATGGAACCTCAAGGAGAGCGAGAAGTTTGATGACTACATGAAGGAGCTGGGTAAAGATTTATTCATGTTTTTGCACAGATAATGTGTGCGTGCATGTGTGTGTGTGTGTGTGTGTGTGTGTGTAACTGGAGAGGATGCAGTGCTGCATGTGAGCACATGTGACAGAAAAGCTGAGGCGAGATAAAAGTCTGTATGGACATTTTTAAGTAGCTGCTGATGGAGATGTTGGGTGGGATCTTAAAGTCTCAAGAAAGGAGGAACCAAAAGAGAGGATTTGGAAGAAACTGAAAGAGAGAGAGAGTTTGATTCAAGAGAATTCTGCAAGAGAAGATGGAAGACCAGAGGGGGAGGAAAAAAAGAGGAAGAATGGTAGACCGCATGGCCCGGGAGCTGGGAAGGAGGGAGGGGCTCTTCTTTAGCACAGAAAAGAAAACCCCAACTGTGAAAGACTGAATGGCCGATGACTGGTGCACGCACACACACACACACACACACACACACCCCACACATTGTTGCAACCTCTGAAAGCTGCTCATTGTTTGAGGCTTCAGGAGGGGTTGAAGTCTAAAAAGACCAGACACCATGGGGCAATCTTGATGACAGCGTGGCTTCCAGTCGCCCCACCATAAGGACAGGTGCAACAGCGTTTACAGCTATCTGCATGCGTGACACATTTATGGGCCCATCATTGACCCGTCAGCGCCTTGTCGCCATGGAAACCGGAGGCCCCCCCAACCTCTTGACCCCAATACTCCCAAGGATCGCCGACTCGCTTCCACAAAGCAGTACCTGTTCCTGGGAAGAGAACGGAGTGGGTTCTCCTGTTTGGTGGGAAAGGTTGTGAGTCAATATTGCCTAACAAATGGAACAGCCTTGATCCCTTGAGCACACACACACACACACACACCTACCTTTATCCTTAAAGCCAAGTCATCATGCTCAGGCAGGTCAACAGGACTCTGCAGTGTTTGAAGAACATGCTGCAGGCCTGATAGCAAGCAGATCAAACATGGTGCCAAGAGAAGGTGACCGCAGGCAAGCCCACAGTTCCCGCTTCAACCTCGTATAAACAGATCCCACGGTAATTTATCTAAGAGTTCAGCACCAGTGATAGGTTGAAAAGGTCTGTTTTGGATCTCTTTTAGAAGATTTTATTGGATTTGGTTTCTTTTTGGAACTCGGAGCAAACGTGTTCTCAAACCTTCAGTACCCCCACGACATTTTAGATCTCGACACTTCCAAGCTTAAGTTGAATTTATAACCTTGTTGCATGTGTCTACAGGTGTGGGCTTTGCCACACGTAAGGTGGGCAACTTGACCAAACCCACGACCATTATCTCTGTGGACGGGGACACGGTGACAGTGAAGACACAGAGCGCCATTAAGAACACGGAGCTTTCCTTCAAACTGGGAGAGGAGTTTGATGAGACCACAGCCGATGACAGGAAGGTTAAGGTGAGGCCATTTGACAAAAGCACATCCAGAGGTTGGCCTATTAGAAGAACCAGGCTAAACCGTACATCATGCAGACCCAAGCTGTAGATTAAATCGTTTAATGAACACCAGATTCCCCTTTCAGGGAGTTTTGTTTGAAGAAAGCCGTTGTTGCATAATCAGCGCGCACAGAAAGTGCTACTACATGTATTACGGTAGTAAAGACTCACACCGATGATGTCATGAACTGTTGTCTTATCATAAGATTATGTTAAACCTTTATGTCAACAAGGAGAAAAACAATAAAAATGTTTTTTTATGTTAGATTTTATTAACTTTTTTATCCAAACAGTTAGCCCGAGCTACTGCTAATGCTAGCTTGAGCTACTGCTAACATCCCTGTTAGACAAGAGGAAAACAACAACGAAGAATGCTGAAGCACCCACATATTAGGATTTACTAATATGGACACGCACACACACACACACACACACACACACACACACACACACACAGGAAGGGAGACAAAACATATTTTTTAGCTTTGGAAAGTGTCATAGACCCATCAAGGTAAACTGACCAATCAGCTAAAATCAATTATTAAAAATAAATTAATATTCATGTTCTGGTTCAAAGGGCGGAGCAAACCAGTCTTTCCATAAGGAGCCTAAGTCTCCTCGCTTTCCGGTCGGTTCATGGGTCCCCGGAAGAACGATAAAACCAATGCAAGTCAACGGGGCTAATTTTCTAATCCTCGTTGCCTTACGCCCTGGATCACACATATGTTGTACTGCAATTTAAATGAAAAGTAATGATGGGTGTTTCAACCACGCCAGCCACGTCCTTTGTGATTTATCGGCTTGTAAAAGTTCGTAATTAGCATGACTACACACCAGAAATCGGCACGTCACATATGTGACGTCACCACGTAATCTCCTCTCCCCTAGCGTAGCTGCTACTTACCACATGACCAGATTTATGGTGGTTCTTTCCTCCTGTGGGAAGTTTGCTGAACTTACAGCCATTTTCTCTCAGTTTTCTCCGTGTCTGGTTCGATGACGTCACTTTGGCGAAGCGCATTTGTAGTCTGGACTTATTTTCACTCAAAACCTAAAATATTGCTTCCCCCCGTTCAAAAATAAGAGCGTTCTTAGTATCAAAATGTGTCTTTAAAATTCACAGACATCATGTGTGAAATCCATGGCACAAAACAAGCGGAATTAGAAAATAGCGTTGTTAGCCCTGTTTCATTTTTTCGTTCTTCGTGATGCGGAAGTAGGTGGGTGTGACTTAGGCTCCCTATTGTGGGGTGTTTGGGCATTAATCGGGGCTCCTGAACCATTTTGAGCCCCAGCAAAGTTTCTTCTGCTATACGGCGTCTCAAAAAGCAGATTCCAACTGTAAAAGTATTTTCCAGGAAACCTGTAACATCTCTAAAAGACACTGTTATTTTAGCATAGCCATGCTAAGCTAAAGGCTAATGCACCAGCTCATCTTGCTTTGGTTCCTACAGTTTTCCTGCTGCATTAAGGTTGAAATTATGCAGCATATTTGAAGCTTTAGCTCAACGCTCACGGTGTAACAGGTTTTACAGGTTCAGGCGAGGGTTTTCTGCAGCAGCACTGACTGTATGTCTCTGACTCAAAGTCCATAGTGAAAATCGAGGATGGCAAGATGGTGCACGTGCAGAAGTGGGACGGCAAGGAGACCAGTCTGGTTAGGGAAGTCGATGGAGACAAGCTCACACTGGTGAGTAGCGCTAGAACGCACACGTTTGACATCTTCACCAGAGAGCTTGTTTGTTTACATGTTGTGTTTCTGCAGACGCTTACAATCGGGGAGGTTGTGTCCAAGCGTCACTATGAGAAGGCAGTGTAAAAAAACCTCTGACCTGCATCAGCTGAAGCCCCAAAACTCCTTTAACACAACTCAGACTCAAGGCAAACTCCCCGTCTGGCTGCTGGCTACCTCCAGTGTCGCCCTCTGACTGTACTTTCAGTATTATTGTTACTGCTGACCTTGACACCAGGCCTTTTATCCCAAGAAACACTGAGGAAATTCCAATGATTTGTTGTTGTTTTTGTTTTTTTAAATAAAAACTCCTGATCTTTTGGGTGAAATGTATTTTGGTTGGTGTCTAACGTGACACTGGGCAGCTTTGGAAATCAAAACGTTTCTTTGTTGAGAAATAAAAATGTTGCCGCTGGCAAAAGGGTCGAATGTTTCTTTCTGCAGTTTGGACAGCGTTTCTGTCCGAGTCACGGTCAGTCGCACGGCTCTGGACGTCAAGTGTGACGTCAGGTGGAGCTAATAACTACCACTGTGTGTGTGTGTGTGTGTTTGATTTGGCTGCGCAGTAGGAACGTTCAGTAAAAGCTGATACCAGGTGTGAGGGCGAGGCGTCCTCTACTCATGAAGTAGGTGAGATCTAATTTTATTTCATGTCACGAGTTGCAGCGAGCAGGGTGTGGGGTAAAAGAGGTGAAAGGTCGTGGGAGGAGAAAGTTCATGCTGTTAAGTTAGTGTCCATCTATTTTCTGTGACGCTTCGCGCACACACACACACACACACACACACACACACACAAAAGCGCTGGTTATCTGCATGTTTCCTGACAGGACCTAGTACGAATCATTTGTTGGTCTCCGTCCCGGACCAGGACTCACTGCAGCCGTCCAGTCCACATTTATGCGAGATCTCCAGCTGGAATGTGGGAAAACACAGGCTATCGACTCCTGCTGGCAGCATTCTGCATTGATTCACAAGCTACAACAGCCAAACTCATTTACCGGACTATTTTCAACATGGATTTCACATGCAGATGCTGTCCAGTGTCCTTATTAGGAAGCTCCAGGTCGCTTTCTACGGGTTTTCCTGGCACACCCCGCTGGTAGGAGACTCAGAACCTGCTGCATGGATTAAATGTCTTCTTTGGCCTGAGGAGGACAGATCTGAAGACGGATAGTCTGCCAGTTCTTCCTCGTTGTTCTGAACCAGTTAGTTTTGTGTCATTATTCCAGACTTTTCACATGGCACCTCGAAATTAACTTTTTGTGCTTTTCTTTCGATAAATGAGTGAATCAATGTCTAAATTCTGCAGGTCTTTAAAGATCTTTTAGTGCTGCCATGTCAGTCTCTACAGCTTCTGTTCCAAATGTAAAAAATACCCATCAGTCTGATTTCTGTCTGAATTTTATTTGCCTAAATCAAGCTATTACAAAAGTCCCCGTTTGTGACATCACAAACAGGGACTTTGCTTAATATGATGGAGGCAGGTGGAATGGCGACGTGAAGGAGCTGTACCATGTCCAATAAGCGAATGAGTAGGGATGGGTACCTTTGACATTTGAATCGATCCGGTACTAATTCCCGGTACCTACGAATCGATACCGGTACCGGTACCAATTTTCGATACTTTTGAGTGTTTAATATTTTTAATTCTCTTTTATAATTAAATATATTTTTTTCTCAATATATAACAATATTTGATAAATATCACGATAAATAACATTCAACTGTTTGTATTTTAACATCGTCCTTGTAGTTTTATAAGCTGATAATTAAACTGAAGCAAACATCTTTACTGTGAACTAAATTTACTGTGTATCTTCATTCCTTTTACCGTCCTTTTTCAATTGATTTTTCCTACTGGGAAGTTAGAATTTCCGAGGAGAAAGCGAACGCACCATTAGCTGATAACAACAGTGGCAATGGAAGCTAACATACCAAGCTAACGTTATCTTAAACAGTTTATTTAACTGCTGGAGCAGATTAAAACGATGATGCCGCACACTTAGATCGTTGTCACTGGTTTCATCTTCACCCAAACACCCGTCACATTTAGTAAAGTGAAGCCAAACTTTAGAGCGCGTTCATGTTCTTCTAGTCGGAATTTCGGAGTTCCGAGGAGAAAGCGAACGCACCATTAGTGAAATGGAAGCTAACAAATCAAGCTAACGTTATCTTACATTTTATTTACCTACCGGAGCTGCTCTGTTTACAACTGGCTCGCAGCGATCGATGACATAACGCTCTTGCGCATGCGCAGCTGTCTAGGCAAGTTCTCGTTGTGAAGGACGGGTACCGAAACGAGGCACCGTTTCAAATGAAGTGAATCGGTGCTCGGTCGGTACTGTGGAATTCGGTCGGTACATTAAAAAGTACCGAATTCGGTACCCATCCCTACGAATGAAAGACACGCAAGTACTTTTAAAGCATTCCAACCCAAGGGGACGAAACACAATACAGCCATGTAACCCGGAACTTTAAAGGGTTAAATAATGTTTTATGTTTCTGTCGCAAACATGAACTAGCTTGGCTCAGGAGTTAGCTTGGGTAGAGGAATCATGAATGTGACACTTAATCATCCATTCTTACTGTAATAAATGCCTAGCCAATCAGGGCGAGGGTGGGCGTGGCCTACAGCGGCTTGTCCCCTTTAAAATGACAGCGCCTTGAAACAGCTCATTCTGGAAGGTACTGAAAATGTCAAGAATAGTGTTTTTGTGCAAAAACCTACATTTACATGTTTAGTATCGACCAGAAAAACATAACTTTAAAATAGTCATAATGTATCTTCTTCAAATATCCCTCTGGGATTAATAAAGTATTTTTGAATTGATTTGAAATAGAATAAAAAAATACTCAACTTATTTCTGTAAATCTTGACACTTTTCTCTGATTTAAATCAAATATATTGCTAATAGGGTTTTTAAAGATGCATTCATACAAAAATAAAATTTAATTTTTTACAAGCATCAGTTAAATAAATTCTGGTACTGAAGGGATTCATAACAGTAGAGCAGATTTTAGACCAATATCTGTAGAACGAAGCAGTCTCGTGATTTCTGTTTGAAGGTTTTATTAAAAAAAAATTCCAGTGGTTCATGAGATGATTACCAAAGCGCACACCAGCAGAAACAGCGTTTTGTTGAAGGAAACAGTTTAAATGTCTATAATTTAAGAGCTTTCTAATTTCTAGCAAATTTAAAACAAAATTAATTTTAGCTCAATGTCTGAGTCGTGGGGAAAAAAACAAAAACATCACAAAATAAACCATACAATTATGTTTTTACCTTTAACATGATCCTGGTTCTTAGAGCTTATGACAAAACATGGACAATTTCCCTTTTTTTCCAACAAGAACTTAATTTTCCCTAAAATCTTTTAATTTACCAAGATCTATTAGGAAATTCTAACTGGAAGCTGATATCCGACATGTACTGATTTCAAATTCGACTGAAATAGCCCTTCTGCTGTTTGAATGATGCACAAACACACAAAATGTTGAAATTCTGGTTGAGCGGCCTCCTCGGCGTCCTGCAGCTGGATCCAAGTGGTGCAAACGGGAGCAGCCGGGGCGGAGAGGAAGATTCCTGGGAGTCAAGCTGGAACAGTTTCAGATTGCTGCATCTGGAACTAATCTGTCGATCTCTGGAGGCCCGAGCCTCCACAGCAAATCCTCCGACACGACCTCATCCTAATCTGCCGCAGAGGTTCAGAGTTTGTGAAAACCAACCCAACCCTGGGCTGTTGCTCTGGCCCTTTAAGTACATTAAAGCAACACCCTAGCTTTAAGGTGTTTGAAGAAAGGAGTCGGGAGGCGTTTTGTTACCTTTACTGAAGAAAACACACCGACCTACTGTCAACGGTGCACAACCCTCAGGCTGTCACGATCATCCCGTCGTGCCGCTTTACACTTCCTGTTTGTGGCTGCCTCCTTTGTCACGTTTTCTCCCGCGAAGCAGAAACCAGATCGCTGTAAACTACACCCTCTGTTTCAGGAGGGGGGGGGGGGGTGTAGCTTACATGTATTTCATTACAGAAGATGTGTAGAGTCAGAGGTTACTACAGGTCACAGGTGTACAGCAGCTTCTATTAGAATGACCGACATTTAGACAGTTTAGAATAATGGAAATAAAACTGGAAGTCACTCAGTCCATTTCCCTGTGTGTGTGTGTGTGTGTGTGTGTGTGTGTGTGTGCGTCTCAGCTGTGTTTGTGTAATTTCTCCTTTTTGTGTTTCTTCTTCTTTTTGTCCTGTTTTTCCAGACTACTGCTGTGGCGTCTCCTCTTAGCTTTACCGTCCCCGCCGCTGCTGCTGCCGCCGTCGCTCTCCGACTCTTTCCTCTCTCTCTTTGTCTTCTTCTTCTTCATTTTCTTTTCCTGCAGCACAAAAAAACACACACACAAAAAACCCATCTTTGTGACTGCACAGGTATCAGAGAAACGGTTTCACTACCTTAAACTACGTCACCATTATTCTAATAAATCAGCAGAAAAATCAAAGTTTGGCTTTTCTAAACATCTTCTCCTGAAACCACGGACATGCGAGGACACATGAGAGCGTGCCAAGTTGGTTTGTAATCACCTTCTTCTTCTTTTTCTTTTTCTCTGAATCTTGCTGAGGTGCTGCTGCCGAGGTCTGCTGCCTCAGCGGCTCTTCGTCGTCCTCTTCAGGAACGAGGGCGTACTGCAACCCCGGAGCCGAGAAACAGTCCTTAGTAAAGTGGCCTGAAAGACGTAAAGAGTTAATACGCAAACCTTAAGTAAATAAAATATGTTTTGAAGTGAAATCTGTTTTCATCTGTAGTTTAGTACCTTTGCAGCCACATTTTGAACATGTGGTGTTGAGTACGGCCTCCAGTGTGATCCTGTTGCTGCCCTGATCTCTAAACTGCCTTCGCCGCCTTGCATCCTGCCTGCAAACACACACACACACACACACACACACGACTATAACAGGTCTGTTAAAAACACACACTCATACACAAATGTAGACACTCACTCCGCTTGAACATTGTTGGGGTCCAGGTCCCTCCCTGTCCCTTGATTGACAGCTTTCATTGAGAAGGACAACTTCACCTTCTCACCCTGAATCTGAGAGTCAGAGGGCAGAATTTTTATTTGCTGCAGATTCAAAGTAAGCATGTGTGTGTGTGTGTGTGTGTGTGTGTGTGCGTGTGCGTGTGCGTGTGTGTGTGTGCGTTACCTCCCGTCCGATGACTTTAATCCACACCTGTTCCCCAACATCCACAATCTCTGAGGCACTTTCAACCCTAGAGGCAGACATCTCGCTCACATGTACCAAACCTGTGTGTGTGTGTGTGTGTGTGTGTGTGTGAGAGAGGGAGAGAGAGAGAGAGAGAGCAAAGAAAGAGAGAGGATTTTTAGTGTGCCTCAATGGATTTCAGACAAAAACAGTTGAGCCAAAATGACCTGAAACACAAATAGATTCTTGTTTAGATGATCTGAGATCCAAACATTTCCTTAAATTTAATTTAACTTAATATTAAGACCTGAATAATACATAAAAAGCACCTATATTTTGATAATAAATACTCAAATTAGAACCCAAACCTTTTATCTTTTTTCCATCTAGTGGCAAAATATTTTAGGGCAACCACTAAAATTAGAATTTATCATCAGAGATAATGAAGTATAAAAAGTTTGGGACAAACTTCTTCCTATTTTAGCCGTTGATGCTTCCGAATGCTGCATCTGCTACTAAAATTATAATATATGGTATTAAATGAAAACATTTTTTTTAAATAAAAAATATAAAGTTAGCTGTAGTCATCTAATATCTCCTATTTTTCTTTTTACAGATCCATTACTGCTTTAAAGGACTCACTTGACTCAGCTGGTTAATATTACTAATACTGGTATTTCATTTTTAAAGATTACAAGCTCTCAGCCTTCTACCAACCTTCCTTCCTGTAACCAGGCAGTCGAACAAAAGCTCCATATGTTTGCACTGAAACCACCTCTCCCTTGGCGATGCTGTACATCGGAGGCAGACCATCCAGCCCGGCTGGTTCTCGACTCGAGCGGTCACGGTTGGACATCGTCTCAATCTGGGCAAACAGTTGGAGGATTAAATATATTTCAATTCAATAACACAACACAGATGAAAGACGAAAGACGAGGAAAAGTTAAAGAAACCCAAAATAAAAGCAATATTGTTCCTTTTACAAAGTAACAGAATAAATTTAAGTATTTATATTGTGAATAAAAATTATTAAATAAAAATCCATAAAACTACTTTCTACGACAACTATTATGTTTTCACAAGTCAGGAGTAGGCAATAAATCAAGTTCAGTTGAAGTTATCCTTCAATTAAAATGTTTTTTCTTCGTTTTCATTAAGAATTAAGCTCAAATAACCCAGTTTAATAATATTAAAACTAGACTAAAAAGACCAGCCATGGTCTAAATTTTATTTAAACGGTAACTGCATATTTTCTAACACTCCATACATGTGAAACAGACTGAGAACCAAACACAAAAAAAAAAAATAATAAAAACAAAGAACACAGACAAAAATTGCAGCTGTCAGATTTAAAGAAACTAGGCTAATCTCAAAAACGAACAAATAGAATTATTAATATTGTAAATCAGTTTTAATTTTCAAAACATGGATTTATCTTACCTCAAACTTCACTTTGCATTACATTAATTCGAGCGGAGTAAAAACTATAGGAGACAATATCTCTGGAAACATGAACAGGATAAACGCAACACGAGCATTGGTGTTTACATAAAACCCTCTAACCTATTCCTGTTAAACTGCTCTATGATACATTAGTAAACCAGAAAATTGTGCTATAGTTAATATACTTTGCGTAATGTGACTCTAACTCTTAAGAAATAAAAATTATTGCAATACCTTTTCCACCGACTAAACTGTGCTAGTTATACTTCCAGGTCAAATTGACGCCAGGAAGAAAATCAGCCAATCACTGCAGCCTGCGCAAATTTCCACCAATCACGAGCTTTGAACCCGGAAGTACTTCAGTGTCTGTCTTCTTTGGTGGTTTTGTTTCCTCAGACGTCTTTCGTCGAAGACGTCCGTTAATTTTACTAAGTTTTAGCTTTGCATTTACTCTATTTAGCCGCTTTTTGTTAACTTTCCCCGCGATGATTGAACCTCTAAAGAGACCCGGAGACATGGCGATGGTTCCCACTGCGCTGAAGCGGCCACGGATGGAGCTAGTAGCGGCGGCTCAGTCTCAGCAGCTCGTGGCCACGGTAACGTAGCCCTGGTGACATCCGACTGCGTTTACATTCAAGATTAAATCATACTTACCACCTTTATAGTAGTTATGTTTTTAAGTTTGAGAAAAGGGCAAGCTATGCTAGCCGGGGAACTTATGTATTCATTAACCGGACCATGTAAGCAGATTTAGTCACGTTTTCATGATTAATGTAAACATCAGAATAGTTGACAATAGAATTCAATATGCAAAAAAACTATTTTCAAGAGCGTGTTGGTTATTGTAATTATGTATTTTATTGGTAACAATATTTATTATTAAAACAGCCTTCCTTTTTAATATTTGATTCAAATAACAAAGCATATATAATAAATAAATAAACTGTCAAGATGATCAGAGTTCACTTGTGCATCAAAGGTAAAATATATATACACAGATATCACCTTTTATCATAATGCAAGCTTAAGGAAACACCAGATTGTAATTGCCACTGGTGCAATTAGGATCTACTTCCAGCTCCTACATGATTAAAGGGAGCATTTACTTCACTCTCTTTGCTAGATCTCAGCAAGTCATCCAGCTCGTATGCATTTAAAGTAAAGTACCACTTGTTGTTTCTGCACCATAATGCTGCAAACCTAAATCACTGATCCCCATAGGGCCATCCACGCACCTCCAGCATGCAGGCTCCCATCATGTTGATGTCTGGCCATGAGGGGGAGGTCTACTGCTGCAAGTTTCACCCCAATGGAGCTGTGTTGGCCTCTTCAGGATTCGACAGACTCATATGTAAGTTTGTGTCAAACAGTAGCAGACATATGTTTGTTAAAACCGCTTTAAAATCTCTGTTACCATGCTGCAGTGTTGTGGAACGTGTATGGAGACTGTGAGAATTACGCCACCCTGAAGGGTCACAGCGGAGCGGTGATGGAGCTGCATTATAACACAGATGGCAGGTAGAGACGGTGGAATATGATCAACTAATATCTGGTGGATTATTGCGGAACTTGAGTCAGAAGTGTGATACAGAGGTGTCTGTGTGGTTCAGCTTGTTGTTTTCAGCCAGCACGGACAAGACTGTTGGCGTGTGGGACAGCGAGACAGGTGAGAGGGTCAAACGTCTGAAGGGACACACCTCCTTTGTTAACACCTGCTATCCAGCTCGCCGAGGTCCTCAGCTGGTCTGTACAGGAAGCGACGACGGGACGATCAAGGTCAGGCTGTTTTCTGGGTGTTTTGCTGTGAATATGAGGTCCAACACACACCGTTCACACACACCTACATTGTTGCACGTTTTGTTTAGCCTGATGTTTTTTGTTTTCTAGCTGTGGGACATCCGCAAAAAAGGAGCCATCCACACCTTTCAGAACACCTACCAGGTTCTGGCCGTGACGTTTAACGACACCAGTGATCAGATCCTGTCTGGAGGCATCGACAACGACATCAAGGTTAAAAAAACCTGTTTTTCTTAAAGGGACTCATTAAACTGTTTATCTTGAAGAAAGTCAGACTAAACATTTTAATCCCTTTAACAACAGCAGATGGTTGCAGTGATGCTCTGTTTCAGCCATTTTAAAGTTGATTGACTGAAGATGTTCAGTGAGATTTATTGTCAGCCCTTGGTTGTTTACATTTTTGTTTGTTTCAACTCCAAACGCAAGTTTATTTTTTGTTGATTGTTGCAAAAATCTGAAATGTCGAAGGCAACAAATCGGCTCCAGCCTAAAATTCTCTCCTGGTCGTTGATCTGAAAGCTTTGTGTTGCTCAGGTGTGGGATCTGCGACAGAACAAGCTGATCTACAACATGCATGGACACGGGGACTCTGTAACCGGGCTCAGCCTGAGCTCCGAGGGGTCATACCTTCTGTCGAACTCCATGGACAACACTGGTATGCTCGGCTTCTGATCCTGCTCATCTGTGCTTGAATCGCATCCCTTAAAGAGTCTCGCGTGTCTTTGCAGTGCGAATTTGGGACGTGCGGCCGTTTGCACCCAAGGAGAGGTGCGTGAAGATTTTCCAGGGTAATGTTCACAACTTTGAAAAGGTAATCTTCACTAGCAGACAAATGAACAATTCACTTCTAGGTCAATCTGAGAAGTCGTACATATCTGGACTAAAGAAAACCGCTTTTTAGCTGTGAAAGCTCCGGGTCTGTGTTCTTCTCATGTCCTCTTTTCCTGTTTATTCAGAACTTGCTGAGGTGCTCCTGGTCCACTGATGGCAGTAAAGTAGCCGCAGGATCAGCCGATCGGTGAGAAACGCTTTGGTGACTTTTTAAACCCAAACGGAGTAAAGATAAGGCACTGAGAGCCACTTTTGTTCCCCGCTCTGTGCGTCTGCTACAGATTTGTGTACATCTGGGACACCACGTCTCGCAGGATCCTCTACAAGCTGCCGGGCCACGCCGGTTCTGTTAACGAGGTGGTGTTTCACCCAGAGGAGCCCATAGGTGAGCGACAGAACAGGAACCGGAACCAAACACAAGAAAAAGTCACTCATTTATTCTTTTCTGTGTCTTTGCAGTGCTGTCTGGCTCCAGTGATAAACGTCTGTACATGGGTGAAATCCAATAAGGTGTGTGTGTGTGTGTGTGTGTGGGTGTGGGTGGGGCGGGGTCTGCCTGTCTCTCAAGCTTTAGTTAAGACTAAACTTGTGTTTTTTACATATTTCTTTTGAATAAATGTCATTATTCTATAAAAGAGTTTATTTTTTTTATCTGAAGCACCGATTCCTCAGTAGGGGAGCAGGGAGCTGGTGTCAGGTCCAGCAGTCAGGGGACACCCTGCACATGTCTCAAGTCCTTCACAGGAAATGAATCGGTTGCCAGCACCAGCAGGAGCTTTTCAAGCAATATGGCGGAAAATGCCCCACAAAAATGACTCCTTTGACTCCTAAAACCAGGGTATCCGCGGGTCCTTAAAAAGTCTTAAAATGTCTTAAATTTGCTTTTCCAAATTTAAGGCCTTAAAAATCTTTAAAAATGACAAATAATCCTTAAATACAGTTTCCAAAGGTCTTAAATTACCAAAGACCCAATAAACAAGATTATTTTATTTCTATAAAATTTTCGTGAATTTCTAGTTAGCTCAGGATTTTTTGTGTATGATGTTGGCGTAAGCGGAACTGTACAGATACGGTTGGTTGTGAAAGGGGGCTATTTTTAGAGGAGCATGTTAGTGGGAGCTTGCGCCATGGGGAGGTGCAACATTAATGGTAACTGGATGGCTAATCCCACGTTCATGACGTGGTTGGCACCGGTTCCAGGCAATAGCTGGAAATTATAACTGAAATTTAATTTTAAAAAATAGCATAAATTTGGTCAAAGTGGCCTTAAAAAAGGTCTTAAAAAGTCTTAAATTTGGCTCCCTTAAACCTGCAGATACCCTGTAAAACAGAAACATTTGGGTGAAAAGGTCTTTTTAGTTTAGTGGACTCCGATCCAGTTTTCCAGAGTCGGAGATCTGAACTATTTTCTGGTTAAATGCCGATAATAAAACTAAATTGGTAAACTTTTCCTATAAAGTTTTTATCGCTCCTGAGGGGCGATGTGGTTAGTGGTTCTCAAAATGCCTTGTTGTTTAAGTTGGAGCTTTTTTTTTCCTTCTTGCAATGTGAAAGATTTTTTTTTAAATCTACGCTGAAAAGATCATAGTACGTATGTTTTTGTCGTATTTTTTCCAAAATATGTTCATAATTTTCCGTTCGGCTCTTTTTCCCACCGTTTCTGCCTCGGATCAGACGAGGACGGATAAAACGGGGCATGAATGGCTTTCTGTGGTTCATCTTTGGGAGAATGGAGCGGTTTATCTATGCACAGTTCTGTGGCTTATATGAAACGCTTTAAAGCTGGCCATAAAGTGTGCTGAGTTAATGGAAAAACTTTGGAATTTCAGATTCCTAGAAAGCCATGACCACTTTAACAGGTTCCAGGAATGGTGAGAAAACTGGAAATAAAGACTTTAAAAAGGTATTTTATTATAAATGTAGCTATCTAGAGTAATTTATTCATCTTTCTGTTTGATATTTGTGGGCTTTTAATTTACTTATTTGTTCTAAACTAAAATGGTAAAGTGCTCCAGACAAGCTGGTTCCCAAAGTCAGAGACTCTCTTGGTCAGCTTGCTTCTCACACCAAACCTTCCGTCAGGAATCTTGGCGTGACCTTTGACCCAGCTCTCACCCTGGATTCTCATGTCAGTTCTCTTGTTCGCTCTTCCTTCTTCCATCTCAGGAACGTTGCTAAGCTGGGTCCCATTCTGTCCCGCTCTGAACTTGAGACAGTTCTCCACACCTTCATCTCCTCACGCTTAGACTACTGTAACTCTCTTTTCACGTGTCTGAGCAGAACCTCCCTGAACCGTCTACAGGTGGTTCAGAACGCCTGTGCTCGGCTTCTGACCAAGTCCTCCAAACACACCCACATCACCCCGCTTCTCCTCCAGCTTCACTGGCTGCCAGTCAACTTCAGGGTTCATTTCAAGATCCCGGTTCTGGTCTATAGGGCCTTACATGGACAAGCACCATCTTACATTGGTGATCTTCTTGGTCCCTACACCCCCAGCAGGTCCCTGAGGTCCAGTGATCAAAGCCTACTGTGTGCAGCACCAGGCTAAAGGTCAAAGGTGACAGATCATCTGCTGCTGTGGCCCCCCGCTATAGAAAAGATCTTTTCTTCTTCTAATATTAAAAACATTTACAGTTAAGAGTGCAACACAAACAGGAAGTGAGGGTCTGCTTTAATGCCGCGTGGTGGGGATGTGGCATTACAACTAAAAGCTTATTTACAGAATTAAAAGGAGAAAACTGCATTTTCCATTGAATTTACTGTGAGAATCCAGGGTGAGAGCTGGGTCAAAGTTCACGTCAAGATTCCTGACTGAAGGTTTGGTGTGAGAAGCAAGCTGACCAAGAGAGTCTCTGACTTTGGGAACCAGCTTGTCTGGGGCACAGATGAGGATCTCAGTCTTATCTTCATTCAGCTGAAGAAAGCTCCCACCATCCAGGTTTTGATAGTCTAAGCAGATGTGTAACAGCTGCAGCTTAGACATCTCATGGGGCTTAAAGGAGATGTACAGCTGGATATCACCTGCATAAAGATGGTAGGAGATTCCTTTGAAGGAGCTCAGGATGTGCTGAAGAGGAAGCAGATAGAGGAGGAAGAGCAGAGGCCCCAGCACAGAACCTTGTGGGACACCATGGGTAAGAGAGGTGGTGGAGGACCTAAACTTGGAGACGGCCACAGAAAAGGAGCGCTCAGAGAGATAAGAGGAGAACCACTCCAGAGCAGATCTTGATAGGCCTACCCAGTCTCTCAGCTTCAGGGAGACTGGGTAGGCCTATCAGGACCGAAACACAACGTGTTATCCACATATTCCACTGACTGATTTATATAATTTTATTTGTAAGTGTTTATTTTTAAGTCTTGTTCAGGCCAGTTGATGCCTGGCATTAGTGTTTCTAGGTAAATTTATGCTGTTCAAGGTGTCACTCAAAACGTTGAATGCTGGATGCTATTAAAAATTTCAAATTGATTCACATCAACTTTGGAAAAAAAGTTTTATTTTAAAACTCCTCTGCTTGGATATTTTTAATTCCTCTGTTTGTTTTAACATGTTGCTTTTAGATTGTTCAAAGTTTAGGATCAGACATGTTGTGACTTTTCAGATGTTGCTAGGCTTCACTAACCATAACCCTGACATACCATAATAATTAAGAGAACATATACTTCTTTTAAATAATTTTCAGCTTTATTATTATTTATATTTATTCTGAAAAAACGAATTTAGACTTCATCCCTCATCATTAATTTATTATGTATTCTATTATGTCCTTTTCCATTCTGATTTTATTCCTTCTGACTCAAACAGGCAGAATGACCAACCAGCTAAAAAACAGCAGCTTAAGTCCGGAAACATCGCGAGAGCTCAGAATGAAGATAATTTATGGCTTTTTTAAAAATGTTTACTCACATCATAAAATAAAAACAAAGACAGATTTGTAACTTGTTGTGTGCCGTTATCGGGCGTTTTTTGTAAGTAATTTTATATATAGCACTCACCAGAAAGAGCATCACAAAGTGCTTCACAGAACAACAAAACAAACAATGAAGACACAAAATCATTGATAAAACAAAGTCATGAAAATATAAAATGATCATAAATATAAAACAAATGAAAGACGATTATAAATTCAAGTTAAAAGTGAATGAAAACCAAAGATTTGGGTAAAAGCAGCTGAAAACAAAAGGTGTTCAGTTGATTTGGGTGAAACAACTAACACTAGTGCTAGCTAACCTCTTTATTGAGGCTTTTAATTGTGTTTAAACGTAAAAACAAACTGAATTTGAGGTTAAAATCCGTTTTTTTCACGGTGTAAAGTTTCGCCGCTACTTCTTTTCTGACCGCGTCCGTCGGCGGCAGCTGCTTTGCCGCTAGCGGCAGACGCACGCGGACCACTCAGCGCCTCCTCGCGAGGGTCGCGGCGACTGTGAGCCCCCCACACTCCCCCTCCCTTTCTGCCCCCCTCCCTCCGGCTCCTCCTGAGCTCGCCCGGGCACCGATTGTTGACAAAAGACGCTGGGAGAGACGGAGCGGAGGAGGCCAGACCCCGGTGCTGGTGCCCGGTAACTTGATTTGTATTACCCCCGCGTGAGGAGCGCGGGACCCGGAGGACGGTCGGGGGACTTTTCCGCTACTAGGAATCCCACCGTGAGTGAAAACGGACTGCTTTGTGGCCGCGGCGGGGTCGCATGTAGCCAACCGTTAGCCGGTGGTGCCGCTGCTCCCCGCTGCCCCTCCATGTGATCCAGAATCATATGACGCTGATTTATTTTGTAGCCCGGGGCAGAACCGTGACAGCTTTCCGTCTCTCTTTGTGCCTTTGTGTGTCTCCTCTCCGGAAGGTGTGGCCGAGGTGATTCGGAGTTCGCAGCAGGCCGGTGTGAAGCGGAGCCTCCCCCCACCTCACCGACCTCCTCCTCATCACCTCCTCTCCGTTTTCCCTGGAAACCCCTCCGCAGCTGGAATTTACCGACGGTGGCCAAGATGGGTCACCCGCTGTGAGAGGGAGAGCCGGAGCAGCGTCGCTGGCGGCGGCCTTTTGAGGGTCTGTTCATCCGGGAATGTTGTGAGCTGAGACGGGCAGACAGTCTGGATCTTACCGGGGACTCGTCGTTTCCCCGGAGCCTCCGCGGCACCAAGCCGCGACCCGAGCCCTCCAAAATGGGGAAGTGCGACGGCAGATGCACGCTGCTGGTGATATGTTCACTGCAGCTGGTAAGTGCACGTGTGTGTGTGTTTGCGCGCGCGCGCATGTGCACGGCTGGAGCTGCCCCTCTCCAAACTCACCGCTAAGATATAATTAGAGCAGCGTGCTCCAGACACGCACAGTGTAATCAGACATATTTCTGGGCCTTGGAGCTGCAGCTGCTGTAGGGGGGTGCCACATTACAGGCGAGGCAGAAGGAGTAGGGCGTGGGGCCGCTGGCCCAGGTTCTCAAAACCATGAGAATAAAAACAACAAGAGCAGCTTTCATGCTGAAGTTAGCCAGAGATTGTCCTCCAAACTGCTCCTTCAATGTAATGAATGTTTAATAGGTGATCTCCTGCTGCTGCGGGTGATGCTGCAGCTCAGCGGCTATTGTTTGCAGTGATGATGAGTTGTTGTGCAGCAGAGGGATTTGGCCCGTAGATTCTCATTAGTTTGGCAGAAGGGGTTTTTAGGGGGTGGGGGGTGCTCCTTTTTTTTTTTTACAGTCACTGGACTGGCTGGGCTCCAGGCAGTTGCCATGGAAACAACTGCGGCAGCCCTGTGTCTGTGTCCCTGTCCCTGTGTGTGTGTGTGTGTGTACCTTGACAAAGTGTGCGTTTGCGTCTCAGAGATTCTCCTTTCGGTTTATTCCTTTTCTTTGTTTTCCTTTTTCCGCTTGTGTCTGACCCTTCTCCCGTCTCGCTCCAGGTGGCGGCCCTCCAGAGGCAGGTGTTCGACTTCCTGGGCTACCAGTGGGCTCCCATTCTGGCCAACTTCCTGCACATCATGGCCGTCATCCTGGGCATGTTTGGCACTGTGCAGTTTCGCTTCAGATACCTCATTTTTGTGAGTGCGGCTGCGTATCCGTCATCCTCCTCTTGACACCGCCGTTCTCTACAAACTCTCCCCCCTCTGTCATTATTACAGTATGCAGTATGGCTGGTCCTCTGGGTGGGATGGAACTCCTTCATTATCTGTTTCTACCTGGAGGTTGGAAATCTGTCTCAGGTGAGTCATGAACTTTATTTATACAACTTTATTTTTTACGTTGTACCGATTAGTAACTTTAAAGAGTTCCTTCACTCACATTTTTAATACATTTGCAGTGGTCTCTGGTAGGAATGAATGCCTTCTGGGGGAGGGGGGGGAGGGGCGGCCAGATGAGAAAGTCGCTTCAGACGACAGGATCTGGAGTCGTATTTCCTGATATTTGGACATCTCTTCTCTGATTGGCCAACAGCAACGCGACCCCACTACTGACTCTGTTTGCTCTGCAACGTTGGTGTTTTATCTCCACAAATAACACAAGCCCGGAGGAGTTCTGCTGTGTGGTGCAGTTGCTAATGCTAACAGTTAGCTTCTACTAGCAGAGGCGTTCTCTGCTGTTTCCTGGACGCTAAACCAACAGCAGCCTTCCCCGTCGTGAGCCAAGATGGGTGAGTCCATGAATGCTACAGTTGTGGTCAGAAGTTTACATACACTTGTAAAAAATATAATATAATGGCTCTACTGAGTGTCCCGTTATTTCTAAAACTCTGATTTTTCTCTGATAGAGTGATTGGAACAGATACTTCTTTGTCACAAAAAACATTCATGAAGTTTGGTTCTTTAATGTCTTTATTATGGGTTAACAGAGAAAAGTGATCACATTTGCTGGGTCACAAATCAGAGTTTTAGAAATAACGGGACACTCAGTAGAGCCATTATATTATATTATATTATATTATATTATATTATATTATATATATTATATTTTTTACAAGTGTATGTAAACTTCTGACCACAACTATAAGTGACAGTGTGACGTAGATCTGTCAGGATTTTCTAATCCTAGAGTTTCACCGTCTGTTTTCTATCAGAAGCTACTGCAGCAGATCGGTGTAGGAGACTATTTTCATGTTCGGCCTGCGTGAAACACTCAGAGTGACACATCATTTTCAAAAACGATGAAGTGATAAAATGGTTTGTCAGTGACGAATGTATCTTCCTTGAAGCGCGGTACACAGCATTTACCTGTTATAGCGGATGGGTGTGTTGCTTCTAGTCCGCTTTTTATGTGCTGCGCTTTTGGAACGCATCAGCAGTTTAGATCGGGCAGGACAGGAAGTCAAACACGAAAGCAGTGTAAAACATCTGCAAACTTTCAAAATAAAAGTCATATGCAGATTTCCAGCTGTTTAACTAGTAAAGAAATCACTGACCTTTTAGGACACGTGCCCCCAGCTTTCTCCTGACTTGTTATCGTGTGAACTGCCAAAATCACGCGTGATCTCGCAACTCTAAAGTTATTTCTTGACCTTGCGGGACCAGCGGTGTGGCACGCTTTTGCTGCTGTTTTGCCTCTGGGCCGCTCCCCGGAGCTCGCAGTTAAAAAGCGTCTATTACGTTACTCCTCCGGTGGAAAGGCGGGGTGAGAGCGGGCAGGAGCTACCTTCAACAGGATTATGTGATCCTCCATGTAACATAATAATATTAATAATATTAATAATAATGCATTGAACTTCTATAGCGCTTTTCAAGACACCCAAAGATGCTTTCACACACTCTCACATTCACACACTGCTAGTGATGGTAAGCTACTTGTAGCCACAGCCGCCCTGGGGAGGTCCGACAGAGGCGAGGCTGCCATTTGGCGCCGTCTGCCCCTCTGACCACCACTAACACAGGCAAGTTGGGTGAACTGTCTTGCCCAAGGACACAACAGCAGGAAACCCCTGGCAGGAGCTGGAATCGAACCCATGACCCTCCGATCATGAGGCAACCCACTCTACCACCTGAGCTACTGCCGCCCCAAACATCACCACTCTGTGTGCTTTCAGGACAGAGACTTTCTCATGACCTTCAACACGTCCCTCCATCGCTCGTGGTGGATGGAGCACGGTCCTGGTTGCTTGGTAACGCCGGTCCAAGACTCCCGGATCGCCCCCGACGACCACCATGTCATCACCGTGTCCGGGTGTCTCCTTGACTACCAGTACATTGAGGTGTTGAGCTCAGCCATTCAGATCCTTCTGGCTGTACGTGTCTCCTCGGTCTCCCGCAACATTCTGCTGTTTTTCCCGACTTTCTCACGTTTAATTCTCCGACTGCGTTTCTTCCTGCAGCTCTTCGGCTTTGTGTACGCCTGCTACGTCAGTAAAGTCTTCCAGGATGACGAGGACAGCTGTGAGTGCTTTTTGTTTTCTCTCTAAATAAAAGCTTGCTTATCGGGTTTATTAGATTTACTCGTCCCGCTGTCGACTGGATTTTTTTTTCGTGTGTGTGTGTGTGGTAAAGATCTGTGGCTTTGGGTGTGAGCGATGTTATCTCGTTGTTTTTTCCTGCATGAGTCACGCTTGGAGATATCAGTGTGGCGGTTTCCCTCTGGGTGATCTGAGCGCTCCATCTGTGCCGGGGTATTATCTGTGCTGGAATATTCCCAGCATCCCGTCTGTTAGCCGGACCATCTCGGATAGGGATGGATGTATCATTCTCAGTCAGTGAAGCACAAGAGTCGTCTTTAGTGTGCAAACCTTGTGTGACGATGGAGTCAGGTGTCAAGAAAAAAAAACATACAGAATAAGGTCAGAATTAGGGCTGCACGTTATTAGGAAAACCTGCGATATTCGATAACAGTGCTTAATATTGCGATATCGATATTACTCACGATAAATGAACAAATACTAAAGTATGCAGGGTGGGACTGGGAGGAGAGTGCTGTAGCCTTTTAGCTGGAAGCTAACCGGAGCCTGGGGCTAACGGTGGGTTGGTTCACCGGCACGTGTCGGAGTCAGCCCGGTTATTATCAGCTGCTTAACGACACCGAGCGGACTCACGTTCACGTTTGAAAGCAGCGCGGATTCCAGAAACCTCGGCACAAAGTGCTTTCGTTAATCTGAGCCAGCATGACGAAGGGAAGCGAGCGGCAGCGGAAAGCGGAGCGGAGCTAGTGGAATTTTGGAGTAAGGGTCTACGTAGGGGGCGGGCGTATTACGTGAACGGACCCATCTGATTGGCCGCATATCAGAAGGGCTACATTTGATTGGTCGTAAAAAACAGCTGGTTTACAGAAAGCTGATGTATGACACGGATGGAAATGTTTGAACCAAACATTTATCGACGTTTTTGACGTGCTTTGCGATGGGCCTATCGCACGTCCTGTTATCGCGATGACGATAATTTTTCGATATATTGTGCAGCCCTAGTCAGAATATAATTTTTTACAGGTTTCTAAAACAGAAAAACTGACTTCTGGCTTTAAATCCTCCAGATGGAGCACCAGGATTAGTACCTTCACCACAAACCCGTCACATCTAGTACTATACATGTTACTGCCCCCTAGTGGAGGATCTGCAGATTGCAGGGGCTGATGTTATTAGAATGACACGATAAAACAAAGCTGATTATTACACATTTGTTACGTTTTCAATAGAAAACAAATATCTCAGTGATATTAGAAGAAAGTTGCAAAAAACAAATAAGTTTCCACATTAATAAATGATCTGTTGTTTATTTTGTATTAAACATAACAAACTAGAATCTGGTTGTAAAGATGGCATCAGAGTGAACGTGTGTCGTCTGCTCTCTGTTGAAGTTGATTTCATCGGTGGGTTCGACTCGTACGGCTACCAGCCGCCTCAGAAGTCCTCTCATCTGCAGCTACAGCCTCTCTACACGTGAGTCACAAGAATAGCCGTCCGCCGTCCCATCTCGTCTACTTTCATCTATTTTTAGAGCTACCTCACAGAGGAATGTAAAACTCACACTCACACAAAGTTGTTTTTATTTGTTAACATTTGTTTTTAGTACAAATAACTGTTATGTCTTTTTTGACGTTTTAATGTTAATTTCAGTCCAGATGATTTCAAACAAATCTGGTTTCAAACTCACATTTCAGTCAGACTGCGATGTTTTATTTTTATCAGCTTTGAAGTTTACAAGAATACTGTAAATGGAGTAAATCCACTGGTGCGGGTGTGTTGTTTATGTAATTATGTCACACATCTGACTGTAAACATCCTTCTGGTCTGATCCTAGGGCTGGTTAGGTGCAGGCAGCGCCCCCTTGAGGCCAAACCGGATGGTGTCACTGTGGAAGGAAGGAAGCAGAGGGTCGCCCGGATCACACTCACTCTCTGTGTCACAGTTTACCTGGAGAGTGGACATTTAACCCCACGCGTAGCGGGAGAGGTGTGTGTGCGTGTGTGTGTGTGCGTGTGTGTGTGCGTGTGTGTGTGTGTGTGTGTGTGTGTGTGTGTAAGATGAAAATACAGCCCTGAAAAGAATGTACAGAGCTCAGGGACGAACCAGCATGCCAGACGCGACGAGGACAGGAGCTGGGAGATGTCGGTCATATCGCAGAAGATACAGTCCACTGAACTGCCGGCTCTAAACACTCCATCCGTGTGTGTGTGTGTGTGTGTGTGTGTGCGTGTGTGTGTGTGTGTGTGTTCTGACTACAATTCCAAGCCTGTGCTTTGTGGTTGTACCCTGGACTCTAACCACTTTGTGCCCCTGTGATTTTTTTATTTTTATTTTTTAGGAGGTGGGGGTCGGTCGGTGTGTTTGTGCCTGTGTGTTCTGGGGTGGGGGGGGGGGGGGGGTGGGGGGGTCACACATCAAACAGAGTATCTGTTGTCGTTTTAGAACGTGGTGATGTCAAACTAGAGCAGTCTAAAAAATTTCCTCCTCCCAAAGCCATCTTTTTTCACCTTTCTCCTCCTGGGCCATCAAAAACAATGCTGATGATTGTTTTTCCACCAGACCAACCTGTTGATCAGTGAAACACAACAGAAAGGGACATCAAAGTGTCGGTCTGGTGTGCAATTACTGTTATTTCCAGTTGACGTTTTTGCACCAAAACCAAAGATCTGATATTTTGTGAAACCTCTCGCAGCGGAAGGTCTCCACAAACCTCCGGTTTAGACTATTTTGATCGCGGTTTGTGGCGCTCTAATAGGTAATAAATGTCACGGGTTGGTGTGTGGGACTCTAAATAAATAAATATCTCAAGAACAGCTGTAGTTTAACGTGGAAACAAAGATCTTCTGGTGGGATTATTTCCAGGTTTAATATAAATCCGTTTGCTTAATCCAGTTTGGATTATTGTCACTAATCATCCAAGCATTTCTGACTTCAAAGCATCCAGATGGAGCTTCAGGATTAGTACCTTCATCACAAACCTGTCATTTCCAGTCCTACGCATGTCTACTGCCCCCTGGTGGAGGGTCTATGTGCAGCAGGGGGGCATTTTTACTTCTTTAGAGCAAAATTAGACCTGTTATAATGTAGTTGTTAGTTTTTGTTACTCTTGGTGACAAATATTAATTCTGATCACTTTTAATTAAACTTTCAACAATTGAATTAGTCCCAGAAGAAGAAAAATTTTACTTTAGTATTCAGACCCAGGCTGATTAAGGTGGCTTTGGGATGAGATCTTAGTGTGTCCGGGGGTGGGGCGGGGGTGGTGGGAACACTGTGCATGTAAATAACCAACCAGTTATTGTTCTGTTGGTTCCATTTACCAAAAGAACTGGGAGGGTGGGACAAGTCAGGTTTTTACTTTCTACCTGTTCCTCTTGTTCTCTTCTTCAATTCTCGCCCACTTTCATATCGTCTCACTAATCACATCAACTCAGAAATATTAGTCCCAACATTACGGTCCGAGAGGCTTTTGTTGGTAAGAAGTGGAAACAGGAAGGAATAAGGGAGACAGGTATGGGGGTGGACCTTAAAGGGTGTAAAGTGAAGTTTGAAATAATAAAAATACACTTTCTACATTAAATGTGACTTTTGTCATCATCTACAGACATGTTTATTACACCGAGTGCGAAAATAATAATACAGTATACATATTAAAACATTAATGTAATATAGGGCTGCACGATATTAGGAAAACGTAATATATTTGATAACAATGATTAATATTGCGGTGACGATATTACTTGCGATAAATAAAAACTTGGCTCGGGAACAAAAACAATCAAAAACAAAGAAATTAAAAAAGCATAAAAATGAGAAAAGCAAAAGATGTGAGGAAAGGGAAAAGAAAATGAACAAGAAAAGGGGATCAGAGGATCCCGGGAAAAGCAGAATCAGCAGAAAGAGCAGAACTAAGCTAACTCAGGTGTTTGCTAACCATCAAAATGAAGTGCCGTCCACCCTGGGGGCGGGACTCTAACCTATGAGAACCCACCCAATTGGCCAAATGGGTGAAGAGCTCTATTTGATTTGTTAAAAAAAGCATCGTGCTTCCGTTTAATTGACAGAATGCGTCATGTGTAGTAAACATTTGAGCTGACCATTCATTGCAATGTTTATCTGTTCTTTGCGATATGCATATTGTGCGTGCTGATATTGCGATAACGATATATTTACGATATATTGTGCAGCCCTAACATGAACATTTAAGAAATAAAGTGCATGTAATATTGTGTGATTACAAAATAACAACAATACCTAAATATTTGGATTTAAGTTAAAGAAAGTGAATTAATAATATTTTGTTTTTACCTTTGAACAGTAATCTTTCATGCAAAATAATAGAGAACTTGACATTAGACCAGTGTGGAGGACATCTGTGTATAACATCTGTATCTCACATAAATATGATAATAATAAAATGTGGAAAGTTGAGTAGAAGCAAACTTTTTGAGAAGTTTAAATAATAAATCACACATTAGATGACTTCCGTCATCTTCAGGCTATTTTGTCTCACTGCCAGTGTATGAAAAAAAAAATTAAATTATTTTGTCACAAAATTAAACAAAATCAGATAAAAGTAGAAAATATCTGATTTATTTTATTTACAATTAACATTATTTATGATCATGAACTGAGATAAGCTTGTTGTTAAACAAAATACAACAAATATTGATAAAAGTAGCATCAAGTCAGGTTTTTCAAAGTGAAAGTAAGATATTTAAATGGAAAATGTTTCTATAGATAAAAATATCTATAAACTATTTGATTATAAATTGTTTTATATAGATAAAAGTGTGTTCTAAATAAAATAAATTCAAACAGAGACCATAATTAAATTACTTTAACCATTTATTTGTTGAATGTGAGGCTTAAACTTAATTACCATAACGAGTTCCGTTCGCCCGGTCCGGCAACATCCCTCTCACACCGGCCGCTTGCATTCCGGAGATGAAACGGAGCGTCCGGGAGTCACGCTGAAGGAACGTGTGTGTGCGCGCGTGCGGAGCAGCACGTTTCCATGGCTACAAGAAACCCCTTTACCGTCGAGATCCCCGTTGCTTTGTGTAGTGTCCCTTGACGAAGTCATGTAACAACAACATGAAGAAAGATGGCCTACAACAACTGTCCTTTATCTGGTTTTATTCAGATCTCTGATTTAAGACGCAGCTTGCTCCGAAATTATAATAATTTTTTTGTCTGCATCTAACAACATGTAATCAAACTGTTCAAAGGATAATTAAAATTACGTAACAGTTTTGTGAATGACGTCACACCACAAATCACAACAAAAACGCCAAACAAAACAATTAACTCACACACCAACAGTTAACAAAGGGACCATTACGGTTAAGGCAAGCAGGTTTATCATATAATACAAAACCGAGAACTTCACGACCCACTTTTATTGTAACTCTTTTTAATCAAAATGAATGTTTCAACGACACAAATTCAGTTACGCAGGACAGAACTATTTTCTACAGAACACCGTAATTTTCTACTTAAATTATTAGTTTTTAGACGTCCAGCTGTACTTCCCAAAGAACCTAATATCCCAAATGTAGAAGTCATACGTTTAATTAGGATATCAAAACGAAAAAGAAGAGATATTTTTTATTAATTGTACTCTCATAAACAACATTTTCATAAATTACATATCCCAATTCAGGTATAGTAGAAACTTTTTCAGACATAATCGCAATAAAGGGTAGCAATAAGAACATTATTCACAGATAAAAATAATAAACCTTAGACAATTCAACATAAAATAAGATACTTTTATCACTAGAATGAAATTCTACGTATGAAATATTGTGAACACTAAGCAAAAGCCTTGTATAGTTATAAAACGTATAGTTTTACTACAAAAATGCACATTTTGATAAGTGTTATTTACTTTTCGAAAATAAATTACGTTATTGGACTGTAGGGCTTGATACTGAGATAATTCACCAAGTAGACCAAAGATGAGCGCGGTCTTATTATGTGCTACAACGGCCTGCCATAAACGCAATGAACCCTCCGCTCCCTCGCAGCCCTTCCCGTCATGCTGCGCTGCTGTCCGCTCCTCCGTCGAGCCGCCATGTTGTCGGAGTGAAATCCTGGGGTGTCAGAGACAAACTGGGGCCGAAATCCGCAACCATCCACCCCCTCCGCCGGTACGTACCCCCTCTTCTCCTTGTTCGGTCGCACTAAACACGAGTTTTTAACGCATCGACATGGATATTACAGGTTTGGCGGCGTAGAGAGCGGTTGAACGGGGATGTTTTGTGAGGCTGGAGCAGCAGCCTTTTCTTTCTGCTGCCTGCCTCCTTCCTCCCCTCCTGTCGGTCTTCCGCTCCAGACTGCTCTGGGGCTTTTGTTAGCCTTCGCGTCAGCGGGACCCGTGGGGGTGTTGGGTCGGCAGAGGAGTAGAGACCCCGGGGTGTTTGTTGGTGACAAAATGCTAATGTTGGTGGAGGTTTCTGCTAGGAACGTAGCCCGTGTTTGGCAGCCGGCTCGAGCCTGTGACGGGAGGCCGTGTTATTGTTGGTAGACACGGGCAGTGAACCTTCCATAACAAGACCCCTGACCGGGGTGAGTGGACGCGGGTGCATCGGAAGTAGTCCCCGGTAGTCGCCTCTTACCGCTCCCTGGAAACATCTATTATTCCATTTGGCTTATGCTAGTTATTCTTGTCAGAGTGGCCTCTGTAGAGACAGCCAACGTAACGAGCTGCTAGCTGCAGGTTGGTATTGTCACACCCCTGTCTGTCTGTGCCCGGAGTGCGGTGGACTGATCGCCGCGTAATGAATGATTAACCCCCGTTAAGACGGTGGGACTGTGCCCGTTTCCGGGTGCCGGAGCTCGCAAGCGCTCGTGTTTGGCGGAATGAATGTGCTGTGGTGTATTTCCGGGTGTTTCTCAGCTCTGGAATGATCGGCTAACATTTCCTCGTTGCCGATTGCAGTGTGGAAGAGAAAACAAAGACACGACCGCATATGTGAGCGATCTGAGAGCAGGTTTGGGTTTTAGTTGATGCTTTTTTAAATATTATTATTAGAGCTGATCAGCTGGCTGAGGGTCGCTGGTGTGTTTTGCGGGTTTAGCAGACTCGGGGAAAGCTGGTGCGTTCATGTCAGACAGGCTCCCGCAAAGGCAATAACTGTTGGACTGCTTGTCATTTCCCCCTGGCCTGTAGGGACACTAATGTGAAACTGCTCATTTTAAGAGATTAGAGCTTGTTGGGTAAGGAGAGGCTGTAAAATAGAAATAATACTACACTTATTGTCTGATTGCTCTCGAGCATCACTGAGTTTTTATTTTTTTTGCATTGCATGGGGCAATCCACCCCTGACCCTTTCAAAATGACAGCCCCCAGTTTGACTCCATGCCTTGCAAAACAAAGCAATC